ATGCGAAACGGCAGCCAGCTAATACCAACAGGCCATAATGACTCCCCCAAAGGAGAGGAACACTGTATAACCACTGTTGTATGCGCGTGAAGAATGGACGCACAAGCAATGCACACCACACAACCCCTAGACACAGAAAGAAGCCTGAGCCCTGCAACCTCCAACATGGATAGCGAAGATGAGTGGATCTCTTGTTTGTTGCAACGAATGCACTTAGTATTGGCTATATTTGCCAAAATAAATAATTTCGCTTTCACCTTGGGTTCTTGCAGGTCGGCAACTGCCGGTAGCCTGTAGATAGAGTATCCCGCCAATGAGCGGTCTGTTTCAGCCGTTTTCGTTGAAGTTGCATGTAGTGGAAAGATGGGACATCATCATTGTGGCTGAATTCAGGTGCGAAGCTACGAAACGTGCGACTTCGATTGTGGAAAATCAAAACGATCAATCGTATTTCTTTTTTGGTTCATTGGTGAATACTTTGCCTTTGGTCTCTCCTTCTCATCGATGTAGACTGGGGACCTTCAGCGTATCGCGAAAAGGACTGAAGGTCCACAAAACTGTTAGTTCCAACCTCATCCTCGTCTTGTTTCTGACATCGTTCGCATACAAACACAAGCGTACAGGTATAGTGTATGCGATTGTCATTGGTGTGCTACCGATATACCCAATGCAGTCTGGTAACAATTGCCTTCCTGCACAGCGCTGTCCCATTTTGTAGTAGATTTTTTATAGACTAACGTCCCGTGCATTCCCATATTGTTCTGTAAAACTCATGAACTGGAGACTACCAGGTATGCCTTTTCTGACCCACATACGCAGATGATTTCTCAAACTGCGGCTAGAGTCTGTTATTTTCCCTTGTTGTTTTCTGACCAGTTAACTGTTACAAACTTTCTCGAATAGTCTGCGGATTCACACTTGATCATTTTGTACCGAACGCGACTTGGTCAGTCTCTATCTGAACGTTGTAGGTTGTGTGAATTCAGTCCTGATAGTAGTGTTTCTCTTGTGTTGATGGCATCGAATGCCGGTTGAGGAAGTGTTGCGATTTGTGTAGTAATAGCTAGCGCTTTATGCGTTTCTTTCGTGAGCGAATGTCATTAGGCTGACTCTAGCACTCAGCAACCAACAGCCAGATCAATGCGGGATCATTCTGGAGCACTCGTTGTATGTATAGAGAGTAACGCGCACTCTCAATGTATATTGATTGAGATTCGCATTGCGGTAAACCTTGGGACCATAACTGATGAAGCCAACGGAAGTTGGTGTTGCCTCCGCTTAAACACACTGCACAACCACTGCACGTTTCGATCTGATCTTATGTCACCAGGCGGTGATAGCAGGCCCCAAACCCGCTACCTTTGGAATAGCAGCCGAAATCTCTACTTTTTCACCGGGTCACAACGGGCGCCCCTTGGCACAACGATTAATGACTTATTGGAGGGCCCTTTTGGAGTGCACATTGAGTGATTATATTGCGACAGGCAGTCTCAATGTAGACCGCGATTCCCATTGAAGTGAAGTTTGATCATTGCGATCACTGGGCCCGTTGCATGTTGTCCGCCCAAAAACACTGCACTCCGCGGCCGGTTTCGAACAGGACTTCTAGGATGCAGTGCAGTGTTTTTGAGCGGGTGTTATAATTGAGAGCGCCCCTGTTATGATTGCGTAACGCCTGATAAGACTGTCACTGGCACTGTTGGAGCACGCCTACGGTAACGGCCTGGAACGTTGACCAATCGAACGGATTTCCGCTGACCTGATGGCGTAGCCTATCCCGGAGTACGCACGGGTGAGACGGAAATTGAGCGAGCGTGAGGATGATCCTAGCCGCACGTATTCGGGCAGACGCTAATCCCTCGGAACGGACGCACACTAGAGGGGGTTACGGTAGACGCGCCCTAGTGACTTAGACGCGAACGCTGCCCGGTTAACGACGCACACAAAATCACGTGACCCGACCGACTCCCAACTGAGGCGAAGAGGAAAAAAGGCCAGTCGTCCTCTGAAGGCTCTTTTTCGACCAACAAAGGGAGAATCACAGCCAATGCGATGGGTTATTAAGTTAGGAGAAATTGTTACCACGACGACGTGGTAGTTTGTAAAAGACCGTTGTCAAAAGATGCGCAGTTGGGCCGCGTCTCGGAGTGGCTGAACGCTGCTGCGTTGTGGGGAGGAATTGGACCTCGCTTTCCACAGCCATTCTGCCGGGGTTTCTGGCGCGTTTTTGCGGGAATATTTGACGGGCCCGCAACAGCGGGCAACATCCAATGTCCAATCATTACGTTAATACAACGCACTGACCACTTCTTCAACATCTGTTCGCCCCCGGGGCATTTATTCCACACGGCTGGTCTACATGTAGTAGGGCTTCAGTGAACCAACATGCCTGCTTACTCCTGCTTCCTTAGGGTACCTAACCAGAGTGGTATATTCCTACTGCCTTTTAGACAGCTGGATGTCTCGGAAGCTCTGTTAAACCTGTGCGTTGTTCGGTTGTAGTTTTCACCCATCTACCCGAGACCAATTACAGAGGGGACTACGAGAAACTACATTTGAAATTACTCCAATATTCCCACTACTTATCGCTAATCAAAAATACGTGGGTATAGTTTCTGGGTGCTGTGGCGTACCCAGTCGCTATGCGGAAAGTCGTAGCTCTGGGGCCAACCGCTGTTTTCTGTACAGCTCGTAACTGGCATGGCCGCGCTATATCTTGGTCAACTGTCAGTCGTGCAGATCCCCTACCGCCACCCATTGCTTAGTGTCACAAACTGCTGGTCTGGAACGAACGCTCACCATTGACGAGACTCAGTAGCTCGGAACAGCTGTCTGGGGCTTTTCCAGACGTGTGGGAACCTGCCCGACTGAGAGGGGACTGCGACGAACTACATGTGAAGTCTATTTTCACACCTAATGTGAGAACCATTTCTCAGGCCTGTTGAACGCACTTGTTTGCGATTGTTTTAGCGACCTGAATGTAGACGGCTCTCAATTCAGACAGGATCACGTGTGCTTTCAATTTAGTTTGTGTTTTTGTTTCGTGCCAGCTAGCCACAATTCTTGTAGCGGACATTGCCTTAAGCCTTGTTGTCATTACAACCGTTGGAACAGCGTGCATACGAAGTGAACACCTTTTAGTGCTCCACATTGTGCCACTGGTGTAGATGGTCTTGATGAGAGTTGATTCACTATCTCGCGTGTACCAGCCAACAAGGATACTTGATCATCAACCACACATATTGCCTCTCAAGCCTTGGCCCCGAGACCTTTTCGCACTGTGTTGGCCATTTGCACGTTGTCCTTGTGCCATAATACTGACTCATTGACAAGATCCATCGGTCATGAGCTCTACCGACGAAACTAACTATGCAGCTCGGCTTTTCACACCTTCAGAATTCCCAAATCTTCAGTACCGCGTGACTTTGTTTTTGAATCTACGATTGCCTACACCTTTCCTGTCTATTCTCGCTGTTTTCCGTTTACTTTTTTGATCTCTTTCGAATGAAATGCAATCTACCGGGTTGCTGTCCAAACGGTATTTTTTCGGTGCAGCAGCTATAATCGGACAAATTACTGGTTTTGTTCCCCTCAAACATTTAATACAAACAGCCTTTTGTATTCTAAATAGCCACTAGACTCTTTCCGCTTCTTACCTATTATTTAGTGCACTATATTTTATATCCGTCCTTCTTGTAAAGACAACAATTTTCGATTTTCTTGCCCAGCACTATCACATTGTAGTCCTCTGTTCACATAAATGGCTGACTGCGACGAACAAAAATACTTACCAAAATCCTTCTACTTATACGTAATACAAATTCGCCCTTACGGATTCCATAAATGCTATGTCGATTCATAGCTGCCGTAATCGGGAAATCCTGACGCCCTTAAGGCCAACCGCTGTCATCTGCATGGCAGGTGCCTGCATGGCAGTGGAGGATGGGTCGGGCTATATCGCAGTTAGCTAACAATTCGTGATGGTCGACTGCCGTCCTCTATGGCTCAGTTGCATAAGCAGCGGGCTAGTTGGTAAGAGTCACTAGCAGTCATGGGTTCGATCCTCCGTAGAGGACCGAAGAATGCGCACCACTGACGAGCCCCAACAGGGCGAAACGGCCGTCTGGTGCTTTTCCGGATAGGTAGTTGACTTATCTGAATTGTCGGCTGACTGCGACGAACCAAAAACTGTACCCCCTCTTCACGATCATTTTCTGATTGTTTTAGTGTAGCATTCTTCATTATATTGCTTTTTTGTGGAACATCTGCTATGTGGATGGATTGCCACACTGGATATCTCACTTGGGATCGCGGTTCATCACTTGGCAATAAACTCGTGATTTCGGTCACTGGGCGTCAGAAGCACCAGCTGTACGTCCGTGTGCCGCACTAACTCTCCGCTGCCATGTGATCATCACCAGTCGCGCTCGGGCTGAGGATGCTGCGAAATCACCCCGCACAGCTGCACTGATATCGAACTTTGGGACCTTACACCAACCGACTACCGGTCACTGAGTCGTACTTGAATCGCATAGATGTTCGACGTTCGCTGCTGCCACCACTGCACCTTGCGACTGAGTTTGCGCTTGTTTTCACCAACTTTTCAGGTGGAGCTAATCCCCTAAGTGGGAATCGCGCCCGGGAAGTAGAGGTTGTCGGTGGTGACGCATCTCACAACGTTTCATGCATGACTCTCTGATGGTTTGTTTTTGACGGACCCGTTGTGTGGATGGACGTTCCGAGTTTAGCCACCGGCTTAGTTTTCTTCACCTAAATGGTCCAAATAACTTCGGAGCCGGGCAACACAACTACGGTCCCAGTGATCCGGCCAACCGAGATTCACTTCGGCCTGGTCCACAATGTGATTACATATCCCAATCTGTTCACCTAGCGGGTGATTCAGATGAACCCACAAGGAGTCAGTATATATTGTTGTGTCCTCAAGGATTCGACTTAGCAGCTTCTTAGATTGCGCCACGCGAGTCAAAAGACAACGCACCGGACGAGAAGTATATTTGCGAAAACACAGAACGGGCCGACGTGGGAATGAAAACACACCGATTACAGTTCAAATCACGGCTGTGTGCTAGTTTGAATTTATCGATCTCAAAGAATCACGGGACGTGTGAGTGGTATGAAACAAGCGGTAGTAACAAATGTTCTGCAACACAGGAAAGCACTAGTCTGCTTGTAACTGAGACTGTTCTGATACAAGGCACACGGTTACTTGGGGAAATTGCGCACTTACCTTCCCGAACAAGTCAATTTGTTTCGTTTCTGTGCGCATTTGACTTTGGTCTGACCTAACACCTCCCCCTTGTTGAAATAGTTAGACCGGTAGTTGTATAGGTTTTCCTTCGGGGATCGACCTGCAAGGGTTGCACGCATCTTCTTACCCGTTGTGGCCTTAGTCGGTGTTCACTTTCAGTCCGTTCCACGAGTTGCGTATCCTGTCCGGTCGAGGTGCTTGGGTGCAAAGTGCATAACAATTCATTGAAATCAAATCCTTTGGGGTCGCGTGTCTCTGGGATCCTTGCAAACCGCGGTCGCAGTTGGTTGGCATGACGAACCCATACTTGCCTACCAACGCGAACATCGTACATTACTTTGCCACGTCGTCCCACGACTTGACCTGGTATCCAGCTTATTCGATGCCCTCGATGAGAGGCAGCAAACACTGCGTTTCCAACTCTGAACTTTCTGCGCCGTGCTCGGTACCGTCTGTTGTACTGGGCTTCCATATCCGAATTTGTACGAGGTGATGCATACGAGACCGGGCGCCTGGGTCGAAACACTGGTGTAGCACAAGGTAACAGAGTAATCTTTGTCTGCATCTTGTTCGCCTGAAACTGTTCAGCAATGGTTTTACTTGGAATAGGTGGTATGGCTGTATGATGCACCCTGAGGTTCGTTTCAGAACACACATTATTCAGTGGTACATTGAACAAATTCAATCTATCAATCCAATCAATGCCAAGAAGATTAATGTTGACACAAGAAGCTAAGTAGATGGTTCCACGGAGGCTCAGATCTTTGAATTTAATGTCACATGTGAACTCACCATCTAACCTCAGTGGTTCGCCGGATGCATTTTGGGCAGTCAGATTGGTGCGCCTCAGTGGAGGTTTGCCGAGTCTCGTCCATGATGATCGAGAAATGATGGTAATGTCCGATGCCGTATCTATTTGCAAGGATATGGGAACATCGTTAATTTTGACGGTGAGGTACTTTCGTTTGCCCGCAAATTCTGTGCGACAGGTCGCGAGAACTACTTTTGTCTTTGCTCCCTGAAACGACGTCTTTTGGGATTTAGAGTTCGTGTACAAGTGTGGGGTAGACACAGGCCTGGAAACGTACGTTTTGCGACAGTGTGATTCTTTGTGACCGAGACGTTTGCACTTCTGACAGAGATGCTTCTTGTAAGTACAGAATCGCACAAAATGCCATCCACCACAGTTCCAGCATGCGGTCGGGGGTTTCTGGTTGGGTACTCTATGGCTCACATTTTTACCTCGAACAGCCGTGCGGTAAATCTGTGGTTCACTCCTGGGGTCAGCATTTTCAATCATTTTGGTATCATGCTTTAAGTTAATCAGTCTCTGGCATTCAGCAGCAATGTCCTGTAATGTCAAATGGGGTTCCTGCTCTAACTTGTGTAGGATGCGTGTGCGCACATCAGCATCGGCATGAGACTGAAGACTGCAAACAAATATGAGACTTTTGAACTGATCAGGTGTCATCGTACCGAGTTTAAAACGTTCACACTCTCGGTTCACAACTCCAGCATGTGTTATAAAATCATGGCTATCACGTTTGAGCAACTTTAAACAATTATAACGGATACTGAACAAAGATGCTTGCTCACCGAAAATGGACGTCAGGATTTGCACAGTCTCATCGAAGCGGAAATCCCTTGGATTCTTTGGCAACACAAAATTGATATAGCGTTCATGCTCAACTGCACCAAGTTTACGCAGCAACAACCGAACTTTCCATGCATCATCTTGCGCCGCCAACTCAACACGGAAAATATCTTCATATTTCTTGAACCAGGAATCAAAAGTTACTCCGTTTGGTTCATTGAAAACGAACTCTGTGATTGCTGTCATCACCGCGTCTACTGAAGATGGTGTGCCAGCAGGTTGGGGCTCAGATTGAACGTTCAGCTTCTGCTCAAATAACTCGAACAATTGCCTCTGGGATTTCTCGAACTGGAGCTGCTGCTGATGGAGAAGCTGCTGCATCTGCTCAAATGAAATGGACATTATTGTGTAACACCTCCGTCGCCAGAATCTGTTGTGTCCTCAGGGATTCGACTTAGCAGCTTCTTAGATTGCGCCACGCGAGTCAAAAGACAACGCACCGGACGAGAAGTATATTTGCGAAACACTGCACGGGCCTATGTGGGAATGAAAACACACCGATTACAGTTCACATCACGACTGTGTGCTAGTTTGAATTTATCGATCTCAAAGAATCACGGGACGTGTGAGTGGTGTGAAACAAGCGGTAGTAACAAATGTTCTGCAACACAGAAAAGCGCTAGTCGGCTTGTAACTGAGACTGTTCTGATACAAGGCACACGGTTACTTGGGGAAATTGCGCACTTACCTTGCTTCGTTTCTGGGCACATTCGACCTTGGTCTGACCTTATATATATATATATATATGTACATATATATATATATGTATATATATATATATATATACAACACCTTACCAATTACATTACAATTGGCAGAGTGCCAGAACACATACGAGAGCAAAAATAGATTGAAAGCATATGCGCCATTGCGTACGGTCCTTGTCCTTATTCAGTAGCGTTTGCAACCAGATGTGCTCGGGGTCCTTTGGTCCCCAACCCGGGAGTCGGGAACACCCAACAACAGCCAGCTTCAACGTTTACGCCTTAACTCATTGGATCCAAGTTTTACATTGCCTTCCTTTTCGTCGCTTCCACCTCACACCTGTGCTTGCAAATAGGGCTCGTCGTGGTAGCCGCTGGGTAGGCATGCGGAGCACATGCCCAAGCCAGCGAAGCCTCCGCAGTGAAATGATGCTATCAATCGGTCGGCGGAGTTCGTTAGATTTGAAGACTTCCTCATTACTGATGTGGTGCTACCATCGAACGCCAGCAATGCTTCGCAGGCAGCGGTGATCGAAGATAGATAACCGCTGAACCTCGCTTTTGCGAATGGGCCAAGAATCGCTCGTACCGTAGCATTTTAGACTTGTCCCTTGAGAGTGAGCCTGAGGTCACGACGAAGCCACAGGTGACAAAGGTTAGCGAAAGCGACTCTAGACTTGGAAACATGCAGGCAGGTCTTATCCGTCAAACCACCAATACTTAGACAACTCCCAAGGTAAATGAATTTGTCGATCACTTCCAGCGGATGCCCAGGAAGAGTTAGAGAAGGAGATGCACTTGGCCAATGCTGGAACAGGACTTTACATTTGGAAGGGGCAAAGGTCAACCCAAATTGTGAGGCGAACATCTTCAGTCTAAGCAGCACATACTGGGCGGCCTAGGAGAACTCACAAATCACAGTGATGTCATCGGCGTACTCCAAGTCCCGAAGGCGGTCACCAGGGAGCGGTTGGACGCCGCAGGACTCAGAGTTTTCCAGGGCAGTATCCAGCATCGTCTATGACGAAGTTGAACAAGAGTGGAGAGGCTGGGAAACCCTGCCCAACACCGCTAGTGATACTGAAAGGGGGCGAAAAGTCTCCATATACACACACGCAGCCCGAAGTTTGATGATAAATAGCACGGAGAATGCTTATGTAATTCTCAGGTACTCCTCTATTCAGTAAGCAGTCCCAAAGAGCCACTCTGTCAACAGAGTCAAATGCGGCTCGAATGTCCAAATATATGACTATGGTTGGTCGACTGAACGTATGGCGATGTTCAAGTAGCTGGCGGATCGTAAAGATGAGATCGATGCAGCCGCGACCCGGGCGAAATCCAGCTTGCTGTTCCCGTACGCAACTGAGCCACCACAAGAGTAGGGCAGCGAGTAGGTTGGACGCGACACAAATGAGACTGATGCCACGATGGTTGGAGCAAATGGTCTGTTCTCATTTTTTGTAAACAGGTACAACATCCGCTAAATTCCAGTCGGATGGAATGGTTTCAGTAATCCAAATCTGATGGAAGAGTGATGTCAGTTCTCGAGTGAGAGCAGGACTTTGATATTTGAAGGGGGTAGGAGAAAGTTCATCTGGGTCAAGTGACTTGTGGCACTTCAGAATGCGAAGCTCATAGGAAACCTCAACCTCAGTCAGTAGGGAAATATCCACGCATTAGGAAGTTTTGTGAACCTCGGAAGATGGACTCGGTTGCGCTGATGGCCAGTTGAACTGATCTTCAAAGTGCTCTGCCCATCGTACCAGACGATGCTGATGACTGTGAATCAGTTCACCGTCCTTTTCACGCAAAACTTCGCTCACTGTTGGCCTTCTGCCTCTCGTAGAAGGAATAAGTTGGAAGAGTTTGCAGGAGTTTCCTGATGAGACTGCCCTCTCCTTCTCAACGACGCGCTGTGTCCACTAGACCTCGCTATCCTTCCGAGGGAGCTGTGTGAGCTCAGAATCTGTTGTACCGCGTAGTGTGTTGTACTCACATCCGAGGGCTTTCCATTAATTGGAGTGGCTGTGCGGAGGTCCATTGACTGGCAGCTCGTCTAGTGAAGCCACAGACCAAAGTAGCGGACTTTCGTAAGGCGCTCTGAATTTGTGCCCACTGTGTCTCAACATCGGAGGATGGAGAACACAGGTTGGAGTCTGTGTTCTGAATTGCACCGAGGACATTTTGGACAGCATGCTTGTCCGTGTCAAACCGTTTTTGGCGACGCTGTTGTGTGCCTCCAAAGCACAGAACGAACTTAACACACACGAGCGCATGCTCTGAAGTCCTATAAGTGTACCAAATTGACTTGCAGTCTGTTATGCAACCCCGCCAACGGTAACTAACCGCGATGTGGTCAATTTGCGTCCAACTTTGACCAGGCGCCGAAGGTCGCCATGGGGTTCGTTGGCACCAGGAACGCCGGAAACTAGTGCTCGAAAGGAACAAGCCGTGGTCGGCGCACAGTTGAAGGAGTCGATTGCCGTTGTCTGTCCTGCGAGTACCGTGGCTGTGTTGACCCCTAAGTTCACGCTCATGAACCTCTAGCCTACCGACCTGCGCATTCAAGTCTCCAGCGTGTACCACGATGTCCGTGCGACGTTTCCTGTGGAGGAGGTCGGTGAGTTGCCGGTAGCACTCGTCTTTAGCTTCATTTGGGCTGCAGTCCGTAGGAGCGTACGCCGCCACAATGAATAAGCAGTGCCTACTGGTCTCGTGGCTGGAAGATTGCACGGTGCTTTCCAAGCGCTGTTGACCGGGAACCGGTCAATGAGCGTTGCCTCAGCACGCGCGCTTTGCGCAACTCCTACGCTGGCGCAACTAGATACTGCCGCTGTCGCATCTCCAGATAATCGCAAGGTGTATGTGCACTTAGAACTTGAGGATGGTGGGAGCAATCGCACCGTTTTTCCGGAGTCCTGTAAACGGGTTTCGGTTAGGCAGCAAACCTCTATTGAAAGGGTTTCAAACGTGCGCGCAAGAGCGGCTTGTGGTGCAATCTGCATGAGCGTTCGAATATTGTACGTAGCTAGCTTGAAGAGCGAGTGGGGTGCAACAGAAGCCGTACTGTTGGTATTGGGTTATGTGTGATCGGTTTTGAGCGGTTCTTTTATGAGGCCAAAGGTACCGATTTTATTTGCAATGCACTTTGGGAGATTCGAAATGGGAGGGGGTTGCCAAGAACAGGCGGGTTGAATAAACGTGGAACAAAGTAGATGGTTTGCGGTGCGGTAGTGTAAGGTTTAACATGCCCGGCCGCCAGCACCTCGGCCAATGACAGAGAGTCCAGAGGGCGAGAATCGTGAGCAGTGAGTCGTACATCCATCCTTTCGTGTTTTGTGGGCATGCAGCTTCCCGATTGTCCAGGAAGAAGAAGGGGTTGACTTAGGGGGGCTCTACCCGAAGCCTTCGCTTATAGGGACCTGACCCGCAAGGCAGCGGGGCGAATTCAGGGAATCGCACCCATTGGGAGCCGGTGACCTATTTCGCGGTTCATATGCCTTTCATTTCGCTAGCTGCCAAACAGGAACCAAATGCTCCCTGTAATTCAGCGTCCAGCTGAGGGATTACAATGCTCCAGCGAGGCGAAGCAAGGGGCAGTGACTATTTAGTGATGAGCCACATCCGCCACATCGCAGTGTTGTTAAACGGACATATGTAGCTTTTTATAGGAAGGACGCTTGCCAGGCGAAAACCCACCACGTCCTGGAACACGGCCGCCGAACCCCTTGATGGAACGCATAGATCCCGAACCACCCAGCTGGCACAAAGAGAAGGTAGTTCGGCAAGCTAGTCAAGGAATCATTAACTGGTGTGTGGTGTGTTGCGGCACATTACTGGAGGTGTATGTGGCACACTAGCTGAGGTGTTTCTCACCCTCAGCTAACGTGTATTGAAGATGATGATGTGCTGAACATTGCCCTCGACTCATTGGCATGATTAAAAGCACTATCTGTGTCCCGATTTCAATTCCATGCTCGGCTATCCCTGCTTGGAGAGCGCAAGCATGAATGAAACAGGGTTTGCGATACGGAGTTGGAAACATTTCTCGTTCTTCATTTTACTTTCCTGACGACTACGATTAGTTGTCGTCATGCGTCACTACCGGAAATAATAGTGTAAGCGCTGAATATGCATTCACTCTGTTATATACCGTTTACTTTGATCTGACTTCACACAGCTGTACGTTCTCATGCATTTCTCAAGAATACTTTATCTGCTCACTTCTTTCTGTCCTCTGCACTCTAGGACTAGACGTTCGAGTGCCACGGAATCACTGGATGCCCGAGCTCAACTTATTTTCAAGGAGAACGACAGACAAACGTGGCTGTCGCATAACGTATCCAAGTTGGATTTTCTACGCACCGATTTGGACCAGTTGGCATTTCACGGGTCATCCGAACAGGTGTATACATTTGCACACCCTAATCTACTTCTAAGCCAATCAATCTTCGACTCCCCATCCGATATACACGGTATTCAGTCGGGTTTCTTCCTGTCCCACACATCTACGAAGACCATCTGGTGGTTCGCAGACCTGAATCACCCGCAACTATTGCTGAGCCTGGAATGTACAGAACAGCCGGACTCTCCTCCTCTGCTGACAACGGTTCATTGCGTCAAACATCCGCTACAGGCTCCAAAGGGAATCGCCGCTACAGAGAGTGTAAGTCACTTGTCGGTTTGTCTTCGTGAAAGATGTCTCCGGTTTTAGCCAGTTTTGGTGAGAGGAACTATTGTTCAGTAGTCGCTTCCTGGTTTTATCGCCAGGCCCTCTGTATCTCAGATTTCAACCTAGTGCGAACTTTTCACCATATTCACTGCGCACGGATCACGAGATATGCAATCGGTGTGCCATCCGTTCTTCCATGTTTCTTTACATCATTGCACATATCTGACGCGCACCTACTCTCCACCGTATGCAAAAACCCGGCCGGCAGTAAAGTGTTTCGGACATTTGGCATGCAATCCACCCACCACCATCAACTCTAGCCCATTCGATGCAAGTGATCTCACAGTTTCCCAGCCCGCATGCAGCGGTCGATGCTGATCGAATTTTTGTTCTGATACGCCGCCATGGAATCCGCTGATGCATTATCAAGTAATTGTGACATTTCTGGTGCTCCCATCACCGGAGAAATCGTTTCGCAGATTAGCAAGATCGAAGTCGTTTACCAAGGTTATCAGCAGTACATCGGTACGTACTACCCACACTTCGCATGAGCTACGGATACAGCGAAGGTCGCCCGGCCCCCTACGCAAGTTTGAACCTGCGCCCTCGGATTACAAAACGAGCTTGTGATCCTTTTGGCCACTGGCAGGCGTCGCTTATCACAACCACCATCACCTAGACAAACAATGAGACATCAATTAACGTGGAGTGTACGGAGAGACAGAGTTGCCACGGTTGTCGCATGAATTGGAGGCATGACATTTTTTGCTCCTTGCATATTCACCCTTCAAGGGTGACATTCTTGACTTGACGGAAACGGTAAGCGAGTGTTCACCGCTCATCATCAGTGCCTGTGAAGCGTTGCACATTTCCGTTGCGATTGCCGAATGTACACTACTGATGTCCGTCAGTTGGTAACAAACTCTTCTGCATTGTACTCAACTATCTGGTGTACTTGAACTACGTGTAGTTGCTGGGTCACATTCCTCACACATCTGCCGACCGCTTACCTCTGAGTACAATTTTTGCATGTAGGGGGTTGAAGCACCAAGATGCTCATTTGTTCGTATGCCGAAATGGTGTAAAAAAACTGACCGGGAACTTGAGTCGATCCGGTTTGGATCGTCATTTTCAGTGATCTATGAATCGGTCGCTTCACTGAGTGGCAATCCTACCGGATGTGGTGCAGTCCCTGAGTCAATGGCATTCTTGCATACGCTTTCTTACGTTCGCATTCGCATTAGTTTAGCAATTAACGATTATCTTCGATCGTGCATTGATTTCGAAGATTCCGGAACCTTCCATTTCTTCACATGATCCTCAGCATACGGAGTTTTGGCAGGGAGGCTGTTAAATTTCCCAGTTGACCTTTGTTTTCTAGAAGCCGATGGTCATTGAGCCCCCTATATATTTGGCGTAGGTCTGGTGTAGTTTTACAGCGTTTTGGTGATGTTTTGTTAACACGTTTTTCACGGTCAAGGTCGTTGACCTTTTGCTTTTTCTTCGGCTGGGCTAGAATTTTTGCGGAGAACTTTTTGGGTTTGTAATTCGGAATATCGAGAAAAGGTGGATCTAACCATGACGATGGACAAGCAGCAAAATGTTACAAACTTTTCTGCCAAACATTTTCAAAACCTGCTTCTTCAGCAACAATCCCAGATGGAAGCACAAATGAAACTGATTGAAGGTTTGACGCAATGCTGGAACGTACAGTCAAAGCAAGCAGCTACACGGGACACGTACACTGTTTCACTTGATATTCTTACGAATCCAGTTACTGAATTCCATTATGATGCTGATTCCGAATGCACTTTCGAGGCGCGGTTCAAACGCTGGGAGGACATGTTCCGGACGAATTCCCGCCGTCAAACTGATCCATGCAAAGTATGTCTTTTGCTCCGCAAGCCCGGTACTAATGAACGTTCAAGATTCCTTGACCACATTCTGCCTAGAGAGCCGAGCGATATCACTTACAACGAAGCAATGCAAACACTCAAAGCACATTTTGGTGAATCAACGTCGTTCTTTAGCATTCGCTACCAAAGTCTATAAATTGTTACGCGTGGTACGGACGATTATGGGGCACTAGCGGACATGGTTAACCGTGAATGTGAACCTTTCAAGTTGCGATGTTTGACGGATGACCTGTTTAACTGTCTCATATTTGTCAGCGCTTTACCGTATCCACGCGACGCGGAAATCCGCACTCGGCTCCTTGCTAAGTTGGATCAAGATCCATATTTGACATTGAAGTCTCTTGTAGGCGAATGCAAACGGCTGATCACTTTGAAGCACGACACCGCTATGACTGAGCAGAGTCGCCCCATCATTGCCGATACTGTTCATGCTGTGCAAAAAGCAAGAAAGGTTGGCTCGAACAAGCCGTCCAACAGAACACCGAACAAGCCGCCTACACCTTGTTGGTCATGTGATGAATGGCATTCGCACGATACTGTCCATTCAAGTGTCACATTTATGATAATTACCATAAACGCGGCCACAAGGAAGACTTTTGTTATCAGTCCCGGCCAAGAAACGTGAAGCAGGCCTACCGAAAGAAGAACTTCAGGAAGCCTGACGCAGAATCAGCATCGGTGATTGCCACTTTCCACAGCGATTCTAGAACGCGCCGCCGATTAATCACCGTGCTCATCAACGGAATTCCAACCAGACTGCAGTTCGATACGGCCTCTGACATAACGATCATTTCCAAGAACACTTGGAAGCACATAAAGTGTCCTAGGTGGGTTGATTCCAACAAAGTCGCCCACAACGCATCCGGTGGAGTGCTGAAGATGGTCGGAGAAATAACTTGCAAAATTGCATTCAACGGAGTGGAACAGGCCGGAACCTGCTACTTGTCTGACCGACCAAACTTGAACCTCCTTGGGCTTGACTGGATGGAAAAGTTGCAACTGTTTGATGTTCCAATGGGTCAGATTTGCAATAGAGTCCAAACCGATCCAGTCCATGCATCATTGTCGATAGAAGACATGACGAGAAAGCTAAAGCAGAAGTTTGCCGCCTTGTTTGAAGATGGTCTCGGCCACTGCACTAAGTTCAAAGCAAACTTGTGCCTTCGCGAAGGAACCAAGCCAGTCTTTAGAGCAAAAAGACCGGTACCGTATGCAGCCATGGCAGCAGTTGATCAGGAGCTCAACCGACTGGAACTAGCCGGTGTCATCACACCAGTGAACTACTCTTCATGGGCTGTGCCGATCGTTGCTGTGAGAAAACCGAACGGTAAAGTGCTTGTCTGCTCTGATTTTTCGACTGGCTTGAATGCCGCACTGGATGACCATCATTACCCTCTTCCGATACCAGAGGATATCTTTGCCAAGCTAACTAGTGGGAAATGTTCCGCCAAACTCGACTTGTCCGATGCCTACCTCCAGATCGAGGTTGATGAAGGCTCGAGAAAATTGCTGATTATCAACACTCATCATGGCTCGTACCAGTAGAACCGCCTCACTTTTGGAGTGAAAACAGCACCAGCCATTTTCCAGCAGCGGATGGACACCATGCTCGTGGGAGTTTCTGGAGCCGCGGCGTACCTGGATGATATCATTTTAATGGGTCGGACAACAGAAGAACTATTTGAGCGGCTCGCTGAAGTACTCGATCCAGAAAATATCCGAGCTGTTCAAAACATGCCACCGCCTGCGGACTTGCAATCGCTGCGTTCATTCTGTGGCTTAATCAGTCATTACAGAGCTTTTTTGCTCGAACTGGATCGCCTACGTGCCCCGCTAAACAAGTTGCTGAGCAAGGGCCAAACCTGGAATTGGACGCCAGACTGCGTTCGCGCGGGTCAAATCATTGCTGGCTTCAGACCTACTCCTGACTCATTTTGACCCGTCCCGAGAAATTGTCCTCGCCACAGACGTATCAGACGCCTTAGTTTCCCCTAAGTTCCCAGATGGATCTCAGAAGGCAATCGCACATGCCGCCAGGACCCTGAGGAAAGCCGAAAGAAACTAGTCATATCGAGGAGGCATTGGTCATATTGTTTGCTGTGAACAAATTTCACAAGATGCTGTATGATCGCCGCTTCAAACTCTTGACGGATTACAAGCCGCTGCTGGCCATTTTCGGCTGGAAAAAGGGAATTCCTGCCTATACAGCCAATCGACTCCAGCGATGGGCACTCACCTTGCTGGGCTATGATTTTGAGATCCGTTATCAGTCAACGGTTTCGATGGGCCAGGCAGATGTGTTGTTACGCCTCATTGATTCCCAGCAGCAAGAACACGAGGATACCATCATAACCTCAGTTGAGGTCGAACCTGATGTCAAATTCCTGGTGAGCGAGGCATTACATGGTCTGCCAGTTACGACCGAAGTTGTGCGGGCCGAAACGCTTCGAGGTCCAATGCTGAAGAAGTTTACCCACAAAACCAACTGGCCTCGTTTGTGTTCATTTGCCGAAATGCAGCAGTTCTATCAGCGAAGATATTTGCTCTCCATTGTAAACGATTGCGTCATGTTCTCAGAGAGAGTAGTCATCCCGCAGGCGTTGCACCAAAGAGTGCTGCGGCAGTTCCATGCAGGATATCCAGGGCTCAACCGAATGAAAGCGCTTGCCCAAAGTTATGTGTATTGGCCGTGTATGGACAGGCAGCTGGAACAGCTAGTTAGAAGTTGTGGCAACTGCGCTACCGCTTCAAGGGCGCCGCCGAAGAATGAACTCCACTCGTGGCCTAAACCAACTAAACCTTGGAGCCGTGTTCTTGTCGACTTTGCAGGGCCCATCATTGGATAGAACTTTTTCATAGTGTTCGAAGCTTACAGCAAGTGACCCGAAGTGTCCCTCATGAGCAGCGTGAAAACCAGTGCAACAGTCTCGAGATTGCTGCAAATCTTCAGCAGCTTTGGCTGCCCTGAAACATTGGTGACGAAAAATGGAGCACAGTTTACTTCAGCCACATTCACGGAGTTTTGCCAACGCTACGCCATCAAACACGTGCGGTCTCCACCCTTCCACCCACAATCGA